GTATATCGGTAACCGTTCTACCAATTTGTACCAAACTCGGTGTGGTTATTGTGCTTGCCACATATAAGCAAAACGTTGAAAATTATTGAAATCGGACTAAAATAACGGCCGCTTCTCATATAACGGTAAATTTCAGAAATGCTTGAAACTTCAATATTTCGAAATTGAAGGACGCTAATTTACTCAAAATTGATACACCCCGGCTTACCATCTAGCGGAAGGTTTCGGAAAGGTGAAAAAACATATATTTAATACTTGCGCCGGGTATTTAATGTTCGGCTCCGCCCGAACTTAGACTTTCTTACTTGTTATGAACTATATTTTATTTATGTAACAAAATGTTGTTAAAAACAAGAACTCAGGTGGTTTAAATTATTTTCTGTTACTTACATTCATAATTTTGCCAAAGAATATAAATAACAAGGGACAACTCGTTATAATTGTAGCGAATGTGCGCAACAGGGGCGTGCCTTCGCTTTTGCCCTAGTGCGTTTTTTGGTTGGATGAAAAGAGAGTTATCTATGTTCTTTGATTTTGCTTTGAATAAAAATGTACTGAAAAGTACTGATTTTTTTAGCATGAAAAAGTCTAATGTACTGATTTCGCGCATAAAACCAGGCAACCCTAGGAGTGGAAGCGCGCACTGCTTACCACTACACCACAGCGGCCGACAAAATATCGATAAATATTTGATGTTTGAAGGCTAATAAATCTGGAATCATTGAAAAAGACTTTTAAAATCCCCTCGCTTTTGTGGAAAAAATTAGCAAAATTATTTTTAGTCCCGTATTTGGCTGTCATTATTATGGTCACTATACGCATATTAGACGCATAGAACGTATTCAAAAAATGTCCATAAAATCGAACGGAGTGTTCCTTGAACTTTAGTAAACCTTTACCATCTTACGGATCGCTTTGTCAGCTATTAAACTTAAAGCCTCTGCATAGTAGGTTTGCTTTTCCTGCATGTAATTTTATAGTTAACCTTCTAAATAATTCAGTTAACTGTCCTAACCTTTTGCAAATATTGCCTTTCAATGTTTCTATTCGCAATTTACGTCGGGTCTCAATATTTTATTTAAGAATTCCAAAATACAACTATACCAAATTTGCTCCTTTGCATAGAGCTCTACCTGGGCTAAATGAGGTTCCTGATTTGGTAATCTCCCAGCCTTTTAGAACTGTGCGTAGCCTATTATTTCATTATTTTTAAATACCAACTAGGTAATTTTGTCCTATAGTCAGTAAGGGTTTTTGTTCATTTGGCTAAATTAATAATAAATAAATAAATAAATAAATAAATACGTCTTGTTTCCCTCTTCAGTTTCCTAAAGCACGTCGGCGGGGGCTCATCCGGTGCTTCATTTTGCTTTTTCATTTTCCAGCTCGTGTTTCTTATTAATACCCTTTATTAATTTGAGCTAGATTAGCCTACTAAAAGATTTTCTAAATAAAAATTTTATCAATACAAATTATGAATTTTAGCCTGATTAGACCTTAAACACGTGTTTTTTTTAATCTCGACTCCATGTCGAGAACATTATTTTATGGTTATCATATCAATTCAGATATTCATTCGTATACTTACATTGTTTTGATAGTTTCTGAAATGCCAGCGAAAACATCACGTGACAGGAACCTCAACTTCGGCGCATTCGAAATGTAGCTAAAAGACATAAAGTATTTAAATTTATGAAAATATTTCTCTTACATCTCTTTCTATATTTACATACGATACAGATATACAAAATTTCAGGCTAAACTTGTTCTTCTTATATGGCACTGTGTCTGCACTACATAGACCATCAACAAGATTTATACAGAAATTTTGTTCTAAAATTCAAAGTTAAGGTATTTTACCACATGCTCCTAAGATAAAATGCCTTGAACATAATATTAGTAAATTTAAAATAATTTATATAAATAGATAATTATTTGTAATTCCATAGCATTACTACAATCTAAGCAGATGTACAAAATAATTCCCCACAAATTCTCATACAGCGATATTGTAGCCGGTTAGCTTCCCGTCAATTATAGTTTTTATTTTGCGCTTAAAAATCAATTTTTCACACTATGAGCATTTTAATTTATTGTTATTGTGCCGATTAAAAGCAGAAATAACAAGTAAGAAAGTCTAAGTTCGGGTGGAGCCGAACATTAAATACCCGGCGCAAGTATTAAATATATGTTTTTTCACCTTTCCGAAACCTTCCGCTAGATGGTAAGCCGGGGTGTATCAATTTTGAGTAAATTAGCGTCCTTCAATTTCGAAATATTGAAGTTTCAAGCATTTCTGAAATT